TGTGTGTGTGTGTGTGTGTGTGTGTGTGTGTGTGTGTGTGTGTGTGTGTTTTCACTATGTTATCAATATAACGTGTTAATTTTTGTGTAAAATTTTGTAGTATCTTTGTGAATTATCAATGCTTGAAGGAGATCCGTATCTTCAATTTTTACCTAGTCATTTAGCCGCATCTGCAATAGCACTTGCACGGCATACATTATTAGAAGAGATGTGGCCACATGAATTAGAATTATCAACAGGTTATAACTTAAAGGACCTTAAAGAATGTATTATGTGTTTGAATAAAACCTTCTGCAATGCATTAAATATTCCACAACAAGCTATACAAGAAAAATACAAAAGCAGCAAGTAAGTTTAAATATTTACTATTCAGAGTAATTTTTTTCATTTTATCATTTGAATTAAGTATCTAATATATTCTTATTTAGATATGGGCATGTAGCATTATTATTGCCACGACATATTGATAATATAACACTGACTTCCGAAGATGAAGAAGAGAATGCTTAGTATTTAACAGACATTGCGCAAAAATAGAAGAATCTAAAAAGTTATACATATTTGGAAATAACGAACCTCCCATTATAAATCCCATGTTTTGAAAGAGAAGGAGGGGATTAGGGCAAGACTGAGCTATTCTTTCACAAATGTACGAGTTGCTTCTATTAGCACATGTGGCTACTATGTTTAGCCTAGGCAAACATATTGACTTCAATTTTCATATTCCATCTCCACCTATACTTTTATAGGTTGTAGGTAAATTTTAATAACTATTTTTAGAGCTCCGTCATTACATTAACGAATGAAGCTCTAAATTTTGTTATTTAGGAATTTGTATTTTTATATACATTTTTTTAGACGATTGTTAACAGAACACTTGCTCTACACACATGATATCTAAATTTTGTTGCCAGTGATCTGTCATAAAATAATAGGAAGTGTAAGAATAATAACTGTATTTATTATCGATATTGTACTAAAAATATACATCATTGCGATGGAAACGTTTCTACGTATTAAAATGATTATAACATTTGTCTATTTTTACGTTTCTTAGCTATTTATTTGCGATCTTTCATGGTTTAACTAAAAACAGTTTTTTTTCATTTATCTGTTTTTTTTAAATTGTACATACATTTTATAGATCATTTGCATATCTAGACAAATTTTCGTTTTAAAATCATATATATCATACAAATGTTCATATGTATGTTTTTTCATCAAATATTTGAAAAAATTCATAGTATTTTATGCATGATCTCAGCGGACCGTCAGCGTTGTGGGTAAAATAACTGGCTATGGACACAAAGATCCAAGTTAAAATCCTGGACAGCTCTTTCCTATTTTTGCACAAAATGGATTTCCTCGTTTGTGATGAAGGGAGAGAGAGGCGCAAAAGTCACCGATCAGAGAACTGAACTTATGATCAAAATGCAGATGACGAAAGAAGTTGGGGTGTTGTATTCCAGAAACAAAAATATACTTCCCCAATGGGGCAAACACCGAATATGATGAGGAAGTTAAAAAAAGTAAGAGATGCATGTATGCAAAGAGATAATTTATGCATGATCTCTGAACAAGACGTACTAAAATAAAAATATTCAAGTTTGAATATATAGTATCTATTCATATTCATTTTAAGAGGTATAATGTAATTTCGTTTTTGATTGTGTTATTGAATGTTTTAGTATGGTATTTATAAAAATAAGTTTCTTTCAATAATTGTATTGTCACTTCACTTCTTCATCTCTGTGTGACCGTTGATCGGTTGTTATTAATCGCCCTTACATTCCGGTTCCACTGTATAATGAATTTCGTGAAAGATAGGAACAGCTGCAGCCAGGATTCAATACTGAGCCTTCGCGCCCGTAACCGGTTACTTTACCCACACTTCTTTTCAGTAATTGTATTTTTAAAAAAACGTATAATGAATTCAAATTATTATGATAGACTAGATACTTTGAAAGCAAATTGATTAACATAGTGGTTAAAATATAACAATGCTTGATTTAAAATATTTAGACAATTTTGAAATAGGAATTCAAAGAAGAAATTTTGAAATAGGAATTTCAATAGAATATATTGTTTCTGTTATATGCTATAATAAGAATTAGTCTATTATTATTAATAAAATAATAAACAATGTTATTAAGTATATATATTATGATGTGTGTTTTCTTACATAAAAATATTTAAATATTTTTAAACATTTTAGTTTTGTATTATTCATGTTGGTAGTACTGATTCCTCTTGCTTAACCATTATATTTAATTGTGCGCATGTGTGCGTAGTTTCATAAGCTGGTATCGACGTTGACAATTTACAGTTGATAGTTCATAGAAATCTAACAGATCGACTGTTGTAGGTGTTTCCCAAGATAAAAGTTTACACATTCTGTAATATTATCGAGGTATAATATTTAATTCAATATTTTTTTTACGTTTATTATTATTAAATAATACGTTCTTATTTTCTTTCACATATTACACTCAATATTTTTCAGTTTGTATAATCCAATCATATATTTTAAATGAATAAGTGTTTTAGATTTAATTTTATTTATACTTTTTAATAGATAAATAAAATCATTTATAGAATTTTAATTTAACCTATAAAATATATCATATTTGAAAAGTTATTGTTATATTAAAATAAAATACAAGTTTGAAAAATATTAATATAATATGTAATGATATTGTTGTATTTGCTTTTTCTAAGAATTGATTGACCAAGTTAAGCAATAATTATATGACAATTTTTTATGAAATAAAAGTTTATATTTGCAGGTTTTCTTATGATTAAAAATATTAATTTAATATAAAATTTTTTTGATATCCTTATTAGATAAAATGGATATGGCATTTGGTGACAACTTTGTCAATGAACAAGAAGTAGATCCAGTAGCAGAATTCGTAGCAAGGGAACAGGATCAATTAGCAGGGCTTGAGAATGAAATTCCACCAGTTGCTATATCTACTCCTGCAATGGCATCTAATACAGATGGTAATTAAATTAAATACACAAGTAAAAAGTATTCTAATTATATTCAATGTTATTCTTATTCAAATTAATTGAGAAGTTTATAATTAAAATATAATTGAAAATTCTCTTAAATAATATTAAAAAATTTTGGAAATTTAAGTTGGTCCAGGTGGTGATGCTGAAGGTAGTTTCGAAATAATAGATGCAATTGGACAACCTTCTGAAACGCAAGCACCTCCAGTAATAGGTAAACTATATTTTAATAACTTTTTTTTTATTAAATCATTTATAGCTTATTATGAAATATGATTTAAAAAAATATTTTCAGAAACTGCACCTAAACCTCCACCTGTAAAAGAAGAGCCCGAGAAAATACGAAAATGGAGGGAAGAACAAAAAGCTAGACTAGAGGAAAAGGGTAAATATGTTTTTATATAATCATTCAATATCGTTTATATATAATTCAATAACATTCTAATTCATAGATAATTAGAAAACAAATTCATTTTGTAGTTTTGGTATTTAATTATTATTATATGTAATTTATTTAGATGAAGAAGAAGAAAAGAAAAAAGAAGAGTGGAGAGAAGCTGCCAGAAAAGAATTAGAAGAATGGTATAAACATCATGCAGAAGCTATTAGTAAAACAAAAACTACAAATAGGTAATATTTAAAATTACTTTTTCTTTCTGTCTTTTTAAATCTGTTTTATATAATATTTCCTGTTTTTATTAAATATAACTTTTAATCGCATATTTGTAGATGCAATTAAAAGTCTTCTATATAAAATTATAAATATTTATTTAAAATATGTACTACATACAATTATATTATTTTCATTCTGCTTCTTAGGGAATCAGCCAAGTAAGTTATACTATATTTTTTTGCATGTATAATTGCATTGTATTGCTGTATAATATAGCTTGCTTATTCAATTTGTAAAGTAACTTGCAGAATAGATATCAGAAATAGATATTTTCATATGTGTTAGCCGCTTTTATACGATTCATATATCTTGTGCTTGATGCAATTATACTTGAAATCTCAGTGTTTCTAATCATATTGTATGTAAGGCATTAATTACATAAAAATACATATATTTTATTTTTATATTGTTATATTTTGATATAAATATTATAACAATTAAATTTTAACAATTTAATTATCAACTATAAAATGTTTAAAGCGTATAAATACTGTTGAAATTATTTTCTGTATTTTATATATAAATTACATTTTGGTACTATAATGCTTGTCTTATTTTCTAACTCATTTATTTAAAAACGGATACAAAAATATAAATGTTTTCTTTTTAGTTACAATTTTTTATTCTACTGATGAAAGTAAACAGTGAAATATTTATATTAGTTTTTATTTTGTAGATTGTAATTTTTGTTCAAGACATCTTATTTTATTAACAAAAACAACAAAAAGCATAATCTTTTTTGAAGAGATATAAAAAAAATTTCGGATGTTACATTGCCGCATACATTATATGTTAGAAACGAAAATACATACACTGCAATGTCATTAGTGCATTTAATGTTCGGGTATTGTCGCATTTAAGATTTTATATGTTGTAGCCTATGTAACATAATGATTTTATCTCTAGGAACGCAGAGAAACAATTTGTAGCAGAAGCTGATGAAGTGGAGCCAGGAACTGAATGGGAACGCATTGCAAAACTTTGCGATTTTAATCCCAAGTCTTCTCGCACTTCAAAAGATGTTTCTCGAATGCGTTCAATTATTTTGCAATTGAAGCAAACTCCACCAGCTCCAGTCAGTCTTTGATTAAATTAATGATTTGGTAAATATAGATATATCCAAATATATATACACACACACACACACACATATATATATATATGTATAAATATATTATGAAACAAAAGAAAAATGTATGGAGGTTACAATAATATTTAAAATCGAAAAGATCATATATGATCTATTAAGCAAAAATGTAATATTATTGTGAATAAAGATTATTAATAGCAAGTATACGAATAAATATTAAATTTAAAAAATAAAATATGTAACGTAATTATTAATGTTGTTACATATAAAAATATACACAACTTTACCCTTACATATACGAATTTAAATATAAGTGGTAATTTAAAAAACAATATATAAAGTTTTCATATAATTAGTTTAATTATATATAAAATTTTATGAAAATATATTGTTTTTAGTATAATTAATGTTTTAAAATATTTTAATGTTATTTAACAAATTATTATTATTGTGCGCAATATAAAAAACTTTTATAGCTTTAGTTTTATACAATGTCCAACATTTTGATATTTTACATATTTAAAAACTCATAATCAATTTTTTTCTAATTGTCTTCATACTATTTTTTCTGAAAATAACAGAGATATTAATAATTAATAATAACTATGTAATCAATATGTAAACAATAACAAACTAATTTGTACTATATTGTTGTAGAAAAAATAATTTCTATTTATACATATTAAGTATAAAATAGAGAAACAAAAATTGATACCTATGTAAATCACGTTTCATAGCAAGTTGCATGTCATGTTGCCAACGATAAATGTTTGGATATGTAATGGAATTAAGCGATGTCGATACTGCATTATAAACAGCATGATCTAACTTTGTTGGTACTGGCCTATAAAGTAATGAATAAAACAATCATAATGTATTTATATAAAAATAATTATTTTACTAAAAAAAAATTTATTTTTATGTAACTTTACCCTTCCAGAAATGTCCCAAAACCTTCCTCTGCATTTTGCATTTCATCATCAGAACTATCTACCATTAATTTTGGTGATGTTGGCGGTGTAAAAAATTCTAATTCGTCTAATAAAAAATAAAATATTTTATTTATAGATGCTTTATATTACATATCTCAATATAAATTTCGATCATAAAGCATTTGAGACTTACCTACATTATTTTGTTCTTCATTATTTGATGTAAGTAATGACCATGATTGTAATTTATTACATAAATAATCTATTTCATCAATTTGCGATTTCTTTTTTGAATTTTCGTTTGAATTATTTTTATCATTTGATGTCTAAAAAAATTATGAAAAAAGTATAATGATTTTGAATAAATATTAAAAATTCGAACGATATTTTTTATACCTTATTATAATGAAATAATTGATCCTGGAATTTACGTTCCAAATATTTTTCAAGTTTCGTTAAACCCTCTGTAGTACGAAAATCTGCAAAATCGTTTAAAAATAGCCAATATTCCTTCCACGAAACCTGATATTCTTCTGCTAAATCTCTAAAAATTAAAGCTTCACGTTATACTTTTTTTCTTAATCTATAATGATCATGATATATTTTGTTAAAATTTATTACAAGCTATACCTTCCAACTCGTTCAAGTCCCTTTTCTGCATCTTGTAATCTTAAAACTAAATTATTAGTGGGATATATAGCATTAGATTCGTCATCAGATTTTTTAATAGGAGTCATGCGAAGACGTGGTGGCGTTTTCCACTTTTTTCTAAATTCTAATGCTCGAGATTTTGTCATTGGTCCAGCAAATGCACGTACTTCTAAACGTGGACTGATTGGATCTGTATTTAAACTCTACAAAAACATTGTCTATATAAAATATCATACATACAATGTAAATCGAAATATTATATAACATACCAAAGGATTAGTAGGAGAGAAAGGTTCCCCAATCATAGGTTGTAATGTATTATCATCTGATCTTAATACAGGTACATAATACTGATCTTCTAGTAGTAAACGTATTTCTTTTTTCAATTCTTCATCTTCTTGATGCATTCTACTACAAATTATCTGCAATAGTAACAAAAAAATAAAATAATATTTTTTGGAATATCAGTTACAAAAATGTAAAGAATATAAAGAAATAAAGAATACATTTATGTATCTAACAAAATATATGATATTTTTTATAGTTTTAAACATTTTATTACGTACATCTATTGGTAGTTGTTTATATTTATTTGGCAACGTTTTTATACAACATGGATAAGAAACAAGAACTCGAACTACATTTTTTAAACCAAATTTAACTGCGAAATGTAATGGAGTTTCATTCAATCCCTTATCAGGTGTATTTAAATATAAATCTAACATAATCTGTGCACGATCCACATAACTCTTGCATTCATCACCATAAAGTAATTTTATAAAGTCTGTATTTCCAACAGTGTTTAATATTAACTCACACATATCTGGTCTATCTGCCCTAACTGCAATATGTAATGCATTATAACGGCACCCTTCCTATAATGAGTAAACAATAAAGACAACATGACACAATACGATAACATAAACATGATTATAAACATGTCTTACTTGCAAAATTGCAGGTGTATCTCCACTACCAATCAAATATCGTGGATTACCCCATACTGTAGTTTTTACAGCATATAAATCTCCATCTTTAACTAATTTTCTAAAACATACAAGCTCTTGAGAGCGTGGAGCTTTAAAGTTATTTGATTTTTCTTCTATTACAGGTACGGTTGAACATATTGAGGTACTATTCACATAATTTGCTTTCTCAAAGCCAGTCTTAGCATATTCTTCAGCCTCTGATCGTTTTTTAAATGATTTTAAACGACCAGTCTTAAATTCTTTAATTATCTTCAAAGCTTCTGCTTTGTCTTGATAAACTCGAATATTTTCTACAATAATTAAATGTGAATTATTTGCTTTATTCAAGTTGCAAGATTGAGAAAAACAAAAAGACAATTTTTATTTTTATATATTTACCTTTAGTATTGTTTTCTATTGAAGAGTCAACATTTTCCTCAGGTATGTACACTGCATGAAAAACTGTTTCACTCCATACATTAGAATTTCCACAAGTTACATGTAATGTTTGTGATGTTCGTTCGTTTTCATCCATTGTATTCAATGTAATTTTTTTTCTTTTATTTTATCTTAACTCATATAGTCACTTATTGGTTATGTGTCATACGAAAGTGTCAAAAAACATCCAGAAAAGCTACGTAAAATTTAACATCTATAATTCCGTACACTATATCTTTTGTCCTTTCTCTTTCTTTTTTTTCTGATCGGAAAATTATATATATTTTTTACAATATGCAATTTGTAAAAAGTCTATATCGCAATTTTTAACAGTAGTTAAAATTTATATGGTTTTAAGCATCAAATCTATCGACTATGTACAAATTTATCATATAAAGCGATGAGCATGAAATATTAAGCATTTTTTACAGAATATAAATTTTCGAGAAACAAAACAGGAAACATGTATGGTACGCCAAGTAAATTCAAGGTTAAACTTCATTTCCAAGGTAGTAATCAATCATAATTTAAGAAGCGTTTACATTATAGACATTACTTTTGTAAAACCGAGATAATTCATAATATATAGTATAACTTTCTTTAAAGCAAAACTGAAAGAAATTAAAAACCGTGTTCATAATCAACTGTCATTTACAAAACCAACCAATCCTAGATAGATGTCAAGTTGTCGACCAATTAGTTTAAATCAAATAAACTGATAAAATTTCCTTGTATTTATTAATATAATATAAAGTGAAATTTTATATTTAATGTAATATATTAATGTAATATAAAGTGAAATTTTATATTTAATGTTTTATTTTAAGATATTCATTAAAAAGAATTTCGTCATTTATTTTGAAATAATATTAAAATCAACTTAAGCATAAATATTTCAATATCATCAGTTTAACACGTAAATTGATTAGTAATGATCGTTGAGATAAAAATCTTTTTCTTCGTTAATCAATAAAATATATTTCTCATACTTTAGGTTTTATTCAATAAACTATAAATAAAGATTGTATTTTCTTTTCCATTTTCACACATGAAGATTAAAAATTGCCTAACGTAATTTTCAGGCTGCGAATTAAACCCAATGTAAAAAAGAAAACTTGGGAAGTAGAAACATTTTGTCCTTAACGTTACTTATCGTTAAAAAATTTTACTTACACTAGATAATTATAATACAATCTATTGAACCGCTATTTATTAAAACAACACGAATGCATTCAAAGGCAATCATATTGCTAAGGAAACACGTGCACTTGTGACACTATGTATCACGCATTGAATGAGTTTAAGAACGCTACATGGGCGGAGCTATCACCACACCATTGGAATCAACCAATTGGGGATTTGGTAAGTACTTACAAACTGTACGTCATCAAGTATGTATTATCTTCCTGACTGTAACATGTATTTTGTCTCAATCGTGTTTAAGTTTAAGATTAGACCTGAGAGTTTCGGGAGGCTGTTGTTACTGCCGCGAAAGACTACTGATAGTTGATACGTGGACGTCATGCGAGGTATGTCGTTCTGACCGCTTTTCTCGCGATCGAGCGATGTTCATAGCGGCGAAGAAAAGGAACCAGTTTTTTTTTATTTATCGCACAATTATTCTTAACAATCGATTTGAACAAAGTAACAACGAACGATACAACAGATACAAGAAAATCCCGAAATGAATTTATCCTTTGCTGGCTGCGGTTTTCTTGGTATTTACCACGTTGGTGTAGCTGTGTGCTTCAAGAAATACGCTCCACATTTACTTTTGGATAAGATTAGTGGTGCATCGTTTGGTGCTATCGCTGCTTGTTGTCTTCTTTGTGACTTACCCCTCGGTGAGTGAACTTTGTTTATATATCTACCAGATACACGATATCTTATAAATAATTAGTTTATTCTTTAATGTCGTAGTTCAATTTACGATTTTCGGGTATTGCACGGTCTTACGTTTCGTATCCATCGCGTGCTTGTTACGCAAATCATTGTTGGTGTTTTTAGGGATAACATTATATATAATTAAATTTCAAATATCTTTACTTGCTTTTTTAACGTTGATTATCGCGATATTGCGATTTAATATATACTTAAGGCCACTTTTTGCGTGTTGTCAATCTAAGAAAAGAAATATAGCTACTTTAAAATCTGTCTTCATCGACGTTTTATATTTGCTGTTTCAAACAATGACTTGTCTCAAATATTATCATTAATTTACTAGATAGCTTATTTAAATGCTCTCAGCAGAAACTGTCGTTTTGATTATGTAAATGAATAACACAGATTATTATTATTCATAAAATTTCAAAATTATTGATAGAAGATTTATAAACTTGATCAAACTATGAATAAATCTCATAATTAGGTCAAACTTAGAAAAGCAAATTGGAAGTAGTAGCAAAAACACTTATCAGATGTTTTTCTTTAACAGCCTGATAATAAACATATAACATAATGCAAGCAATTACAATAGACACATTGGCATGAGTTACTACGCACTACTGAAAATCTTTTATTATGATAACAGCTTATCGCCTTATATGAGAGAGAAATATCATTAGTTTTTAGTAATAATTTATCTGTACACTTGTTAATTTCTTTCTTATCAGTGTTAATTAAAATGAAACAACCATGAAACAAATATAAAATAAACTTCCTTAAAAAATATCTCACAATAGTCATGTATTTCTGAGGTGTATAAAAGTAATTTCATCAAAATATTTTAATCAAAATATTATAATAAATTTGCACATGTACAATTTTTTTCAAAAATATGAGAATTTTGCTTAGAAAGTTATATAAATTTTATTAAAGACTATTCTATGATGATTTTTAGTATCAGTTATAAAATAAATTATACATTCTGACTCAATTTGTAAATTATAAGTAAAATCCATAAATAAATGTACATGTATGTAATATATAAAATGGAAATATTTTCAATCGTTTTCTCTTTGCATATAAACTCGTTGAACTATGTTCATATTCTATGATACAATACCATGGCCAATTAGAAATCTGATGCTTTTGTAATATAAAACTCATAACTTACATTTACAATTGGTTAAATATTTATAATTAATATAATTATTAAAACATTTTAAATAAGAATAGAAAAATCATGTAAATAAAATTTGTTAACTATTATATATTTATAATTTTGAAAACGTATTATTTATTTAAATACATTTTATTTACTTTAATCTACGTCTACATTTATTTTAAAATATATTTATCGTTTGATATTTTTTCTCATTACTTCCGTATCACTGTATAGAAAATTACATATATACATGCAGTGATAATATATTCAAATCTTACACATTAATCAGTTTTGATACGAATAAATTAGTGTTAAATTGAACGAAAATAGATACCATTATACATTCTTATTGTCTCGAAAAGATAATTTAAATATGTTGTATGTTGCATGTAGCATTCAATTTATCTGTATCAAATTTTATTACTAGTAGATTTCACGAGTTTGAAATATCACTTCAATAAATGAAATAAAAAATTGATTCATTCTTTATACTTTGAATCTTTTCAATATAAATAAATTTGCATTTTCAATTCAATATTAAATTACTTTAATTGTAATGTATGATCTTTAATTACGTGATTAATGTTGAATCACGTATGTTTAAAAAGTAAATGTTACATAACTTTATCGTTTTGAAAATATTAATTAAGCAAGTTATAATTTTTATGCATATACGTGATTTGAAGCTTCACAATGTACGTAGCATTCTATAATTATTACGTAATCTGTGACGTAAATATTTTCACAATGTTATTCCAGCATAAAAGAAAAAAATACATTTAAGTTCGTTCCCAGATTAATGCAACAAACTACTATATAATACACATAATGTACGTCAATGCATTTGTTGTGATAAGTGATAAGCAATGCTGTTACGAAATATTTAAAACAATGTATTTTGAAAATGAAACATGTCCAGTGGCTAATGTATAATGTAAGATATACAGGAAACGATGAAATATTTATTCTTATATCTTTGAGAATAAATTAAGAAGTCATTGTGATTCTGTACGTGCCCAATGATATATCTAACATTAATTAATGTTAGTTAACTATTGTTCGGGATTTTTATTATCATGAAAAAAATAATTTAAGTCTAATTTATATCAGCAAATACGGATGAGTAATCTGATATGAGGATTAAATGCAACTGATAATCTAATTGTTACAAAATTTAAAAATACTGATATATTATATTCGATTTCTTTTATCCTGAGATAATATCACTGTATTGATAAATTTTTTTTATAAGAACGTCGTCAGATTTGAAACATAAAAGAATTCTTTTTTTTTTAATATAATTGAAAAATTTATCTTAATTACTGTCTATTGAAAATATCTGTTTTTAAAATAAGGTGATTTAGGTATATTAGTCAGGAAATAAAACAGATCCCCTTCTATGGTAACACCAATAGACAATGCCATATGTTCAGCAAACAAAGGAATATTTGTTTTTGTAGAAAGACAATGCCGGCTCATGCGATAAAAGATAATGCTGTGTGTGTGTGTGTGTGTGCGCGCGCGCGCGCGCGCGCATAAAAATTGACCATTCTTTTTTACAATATACTGCAAAATCATGAAAAATTGTATTTATATTATAAATTACTAATTTAAAAAATTCTTCATATTGAAATCTTTTACATTATGACCTGTTTTATAATCTTCCTCTCGCATCACGACATTAAAGATTTTTGCAAGTTCGTAATAAGAAGGCTCGAA